TAACTGGTTTTGAGAACTTTGGGCCTCAGTTTCCTTCTCTAAGTCACTTGGGAGACATGGAAACTTTAAAAATATTGATGGAATTCTCTCCCTTACATAATACATGGGAAAATCTCTTAGCAGATGATATCAAGGAAAGGGGTAGACCCCCTGAAAACAAGACAGAAAATCAGAATTTTCTTTTTCTGAAGTAAGGATGACTGTATGATCCACTATGTCTTGTTTGGGTATTTTTTTTTTCTCTGTTTACTTTGGTTGCCAAGAAGCACAAAGTTAAATTTGTCTCATGTTGAGCAACTCTCTCATTTCAGTCTCCTGAAACCATTTTCTCCCTTTCCTTTTCGCTCCTTACAAATGGCTCTGATCAGTCCTATCTTTATATTAACAGCTTTTTTAAAACCGTGCTGGATTTATGTGGATAAAATTAAGTTCTCTTGGCAGTGTGCACCGCAGACGTTGTAAACACACCCACACATGAAACCGACAAACTCGGTTGCTAGGTAACTTGTCAGGCTCTTCACAGAAGGTGATGCTTCTTCACCTACAAGATCTTTTCTAAATACTTCAGCTTAGTATCTGGTGGCCTTCTCAACCTACTTCCAGTTGACCTGCTTCCGCCTACCATATTGGTACCTGTGCTCTGTGAACATCAGTTAGGACCAAGTGAGGCTCAGCCACCTGCTCACAGTACCCTCTTTGCACATGGTGGGCTAGGACTTGTGCTTGATGATTCATGGCCCTCTTAGCATCTCCTTAAAGGTCGGGCACAGAGTGGGTGCAACAAACCTTAGGTGGAGGAATTCAACCCTTATAGTTTTGAAGAAGTCTTTAGGTCAATTAGTATGGAATGATAATACAGAGTCACAGGTGACTAGGGCATTGTCCCTGCTCCTGAGGAGTTCACAGTGGGGCAGTACCAGTGAGTCAACCAGGTAATGGAGCAACCACAATGGAGAGTCAGAGGAGTAGTGGAGTAACCCTAGAGATTGGATGCTTTGGCTTGGTAAGGGGCTGATAATCAGGGCAGCTAGCAGAGGTCCAGTCTTTGGGAAGTGTCAGAATTTCACTGGGATAAGTTAGAATATAGGGCAAAATGTAAGCAGCCTCTTCTCTTTTAATAAGGCCC